GGGTTTTGTTTTAGTGCACAAGATCATACGAGCTGCAACCAAAGCTCTCCTACCTGCTGGGAGACCCTCCTTCCTGCCCAGCCCTGCGCAGTGTGCTGTTGGTACTCTACGCTGCAGATGAGTTCCCATTGTGCCTCTTTTAGGCTTGGCAATATCCTGAGAACAGGTTACATTTTCTCCACCCAGATACTGTTTTTCAAGCAAGCTGTACCAGCTTCACGTTTCTGAGATGACCTCCCCTGACAACTTGTTGCAGTGGTCCAAGAGAGTCAAAACTCCTACCAAACCTCCAACTCCTTGCTCTTCCTGCTCCAAACAGACTCCCAAACCAGCCACAACAGAGTATCAGCTGTAGTCCACACTGAATCATTTTCCTCCAGTTAGGACCAATACAAACATAACACTTCATCTGACAAGACATTTTCAAAGGTAATTAAAAATGCATATGAAGTGTGTTTGGACAGCTAAACTGTTCATCTCCTCTAAATACTTTCCAACAGTGAGAAGCCAGCAGCTTCATCTCAACTGCACGATCAAACAAAAAAAAAATATTTAACTTAAAGCTGGTAACTGCAAGTGTTAGATATCCAACAGTCTCTTTGTATCTCATGAAGGCAAACAAAATTATTTCTTGTGTGATTTGATGCACAGAATTTACTGGTGCAACACTTTAAAAAAAAGTGCTGGCTTATTTTTCTTTCCTGGTATTAGAAGAGAAATATCTCATTTTTACAGGTCTCTAATCTCCATTCTGAACTAAAGACTCTGAAAACCTCCCCTGTACAACGTTCCAAGTGCTTAATTACACTTTTCACAATAGTTCAGAATTAGTATACTAATTCTGATAGTCAGATGTGTTTAGGTGCAGTTATAAACAGATTTAAAAGATTTATTTGTAAGTGTGTAAGAGTATCTGCCACAAGACACAGTACAACCACCCACCTGGAGAAAGCACGCCTAACACGTACATAGAGATACAATGAAAGATTTAATCTTTTGCACATCTACTAAACACTTCTAAGCGTTTGCCCTTGCTCTCCATCTTTCCCCCATCTCTTCTGCTGTCTGGACTGCTTCTTCACCTCTCCAGTCTCTGTTTGCACAGAGAAAGACCTCAGGAATCATGACCCTGCAGCTTTGACTTTGCAACATATAACAGTGTTTGTATAGCAAAACTTACTTGGTATGTCCAAAAGAAAGGCCACAAAAGTATTTAGGCCACAGCTGCTGAGGGCCTCTATTGCCTATTAGTAGTGTCAGCCAGTCAGCTTCAATGCTGAGATATTCTGCTTCTTGGAGTATACTGTGATTTATATAGTATATCTTATGTATGATTGTGGGAATATAACAGAAGCTTGGCAAGGAGGATTGTAAACACACTCAAGGGACTTGCAGCTGGGGTGTCAAAAAAAAACCATAATCATACTAATTGTTGTTTAGCTTTGTGTGCTTGATAGGTAGAATGTCTGCATTCAGATAACACAGGCCTGTGATAGACTCAGAGGCATCTTATCAAACACCCTTGAGATTCCTGCCCAGCTGTGGGCACGGTCGAAAACTACAGCTGCAAAAATCCCTGATATACAGAGGCAAAAGCAGCAGGTCTGAGATGTTCTTTCTTCTCTTCTTTCTGGCTAGCAAGGACTGAGCTCCGCGGTGCCTGCATCCCCACCTGCATGCCTCTGCCTGGGTGCTGCTGTGGAGATCCCCTGGGTCATGAGATAATGGGAGTAATTTTCTCTGCATTTCTTCTGTGGTTTTGTGGTTGTTACTGCATCCTGACTGTGTCTGCTCACACAATGGTACAAGCTATGATCTATATCATTTCAATATCTGTTGGTGTATACCAACGATTCATCTCTAGCCTCCTTAAATATGGAACAAATCCCACCTAATTAGGTTATGTGCCCAAAGTCACACATGCAGTGTCACTTCTGCCTTAAGTGACTTACTGCATTTTCCATCTTAATACATAAACACAGTGATTGCAACAGCTAAGCTCAAGTCTGCTCTCCTGTATTCATTATGAGGCACAATCCCTTAAGCCCATGATGATCATCATTTGTGTTATGCTCAGATCTGAAGCTTCCAAATAGAGGTATCAGTTGTCTTCTATGAATTTTCAAACACCTCTTCTGCCCGCAACTGGTAGGCAAACAAGCCCAGGTATGGCTTCTCAAATCTAAGCCCTCCAACATTGCCTTTAAATTGAATTTCTGTACTTCAGATAGCCAGCATCCAGATGTCTGAAGATCCATGACAGACACAGCAGGACCGTGCTTCTCCGCTGGTACAGGCTCCCTCTTGCCACCATGCTGCCACACCACACCCCAGCTCCAGGGTCACCTGAGCTCGAGCCCCCCTGCAACGTAACACAGTCCCCACCACCCCGAACCCCAGTCTGGGTTAGCTAACAGCTTACAACATCAGGTGAGCCAAACCTTTCCTATGCACTTTTGCTTTCACCCGTTGCCACTACCTCAACAACAGGCTTTCGTGTGAGCTTCAACTCCAACTTTGCCCTCTGGGTGGACATTCAGCATGACTGAGCTCCCATGCCAGATTCATGACCAATTCACAACCTTCAGGATAAACTGAGCATCGCCCTGGGTCGCAGCAGCAAGGACTCACTGCATGTCCAAGGGCAGCGTCTGGCCTCGTTTCACAGAGACCTTGGGATGAGACAGAGTGCAGGTGACCTTGGGAAGCAAAACTTACCATGTTCCCAAAGGCTGTGGCACAGAGAGAGGGTGCAGCAGTCACTCTACTAAGATGTGACTCTGCACACAAGAGAGAGGGTTATGAAGTCTCTTGAACATTCACCTAACATATTTATTGAGGCTGCCATTAGCTCAGAAAGTTTGATGAAAAAAATCTGAGACTAGAGTCACAGCAGAATGTAAATACAGAAATTTTTACAGGACAGCTAAAATATTTGAGAAACAGGCAGTAAGGAGAATTCCTTTACTCCCTTAGTTCCTATTTCAAATATATAATCCTGGAACAGCTTTTCAGCGTGTTCTTGCACAAATCTTTGTATTCCCACCCATACAGCACGAGTGTAACTTAATGTTGCTACGCACATCGTTCAGCAAGTTAGGCTTTGTCTACCTGGCAACACTATGAGTTTTATTGCTGCAATTCCTCACATGGAGGTTTTTCATGGGAAAGTTAGATTTTAAAAAACACCAGTCCTTGAATAACAATTCTAGAATACTCCTAAATACAGATAATTATCTAACACCTCCAAAGTTTCTCCAAAAGGACAAACTCTAAGGCATTCCTGCAACTACTACAATCACACACTGTGCATTCAGTTACTTTTTTTAAAATGCATCTTCAGACTGATACAGGTTACCGATCACACAAAATGTGCATTCTTGTGAGAAATGAAACTGCCACTATTGCTACCTTCAGTCAAGAGCACCTTTAGGGATGTGTAACACCAATGACACTGCTCACTAACTGACTCATTGTCCCAGTTCTGCCTGTACACAAGCAGCAGGGGAAATTTGACCAACCACACTGTTTCGTTTTTCTTGGTTTTAGCTGTGCACTGAGGACAACCCAACTCTCTATACTTAACAGCAAGAAATGCTTCCTCAAGAGAAGCTTAAATGAAGGCAGAAAAGCAGTCTTACACATGAGCTGTGACAGACATTGCTTTTCTGCAGCCACCATAGCAAAGGAAGTACAGGGACATCTCAGCAACCTACATGTAGGTGGGAGTAAGAACACTGGCTGATGTTTCCACATTAAACTTGGTGCCATATAAAATTTTACTGGAGAGCTCTACAGAATATGTAAAAGTGTTTGGACAGGAATTCCCTAGGAGGTGGATGACCAACTGAAGTACACAGAAAAATGTAAGCACTATGTTGCTTTAGATACTGTAACTCTTATCCTAGTGCTTTACAAAGCAAGGCTATGCAACCATAGCATTTGTCCCTGCTATGTAAATTAGGCACGTCTGCAAGCTTAATCCAAATGTTGAAAACAGAGGTCTACAATATTTCCAGCTGTAAGAGACCAAAAACTAGACAGACACAAATTAATGGTATTATTCTGAATAAAGTCGACATTAGGAGCTAATTCCCTGATCTGCACAGACTGCTGACAATCAAAGTAACTCCAGCAGGTACCATCCTTTAGCCCACCAGTGGCTGATGAGCACTGGAAGGAGACAGTCACAGGGTATACGGAGGATAGGATGGGGTCACTGAGCTTGGAGAACACGCTGGACACCGAGTGCATATATCAACTCTTAGAGATACCTGCTTTCCTTAGTGTACCTTCATTAATGGAACAGCTACCTGGTTTTGTACTGGATGTTTCTTAAAGGCCAAAGAAAAAGGCTTTTCTAAAAACTGTAGCAAGACAGATGGATGTGAATAAGAGATCTGGCTGTTTAGCTGGAAGAGCTGTTAGAAAAATACGTGAATGAGGAAGCGAGACAAGGATACAGAGCGAAGGAGCAGGAGGAAATTAGTCCTCTCTGAGGGGATTTTCCCCAACATAGTGCTTTCCTCAGCATGCACTTCTCTAAATATAGTCTTTATATTACACACTGAAAGAAAAAAACTGCAGCTTGCTGAAGGCTGATGGAATCACTCCGAGGATAAAACCCAAACACGCTTACTGCACAGATCCCTTGTCAATCTGCAATAGATGAGCGGAGCGCGGTTAAGCGGCCCTGACCGCGCCCCCCCGCTCCTCACAGCCGAGCTCCGGGGCTCGGGGGGGCGGCGAGACGGGCTCAGGGACACCGGCCGCGCCGCCGCTCGCCCGCCCCGGCCCGCGGCGCCGCCCCACGCACCGGGGCGAAGGGAAATCCCGGGGCCTCCTCCCGACACCCCGGTGCCGTGCGCCCCTCTGGCGCCCGGGCATCGCCTCGGTAACCCCTCCAGCCTCCCCGCTCCCGCGTCCACGGCCCGACCCAGCCGCGTCCCCGGCGGCAGCGCCCGGGGAGGCCGGGCCGGCCGCCGCCTCCCGCCGCTCACCAGCTGTTTCAGGTCCTCCTCAGAGAGTCCGGCGTAGCGGTACCGCTGTTGCTCGAACTCGTACCGCGTCGTCTTCACCACCACCGCCACCCGCGACGGCCGGAACCCGCCGCCCGCCGCCCCCAGCCCGCCCAAGCCCCGCCACCGCGGCGCGCACGGCCCGGCCCCCGCCGCCGCTCCCCGCCCTGCCGCCGCGCAGCGAGCGGCGGGGCTCAGCCCGTGGAGGGCGAGAGGGTGCCGGCGGGCGCCGCCGAGCAGCGGCAGCCCCGGCGGGGCGGAGGAAGCACCTGCCACCCGCCGGCAGAGCAGCAGCGAGCGGCGGGCAGCCGCCCGGCTGGCAAAGCAGAAGTAGCCGTAGAGGAGGCCCCGCGCGGAGGACATGGCCCGGGCTCGCCGCCGCCCCGGGGCGGCAGCCTGCGGCGGGCGAGCGAGGCGGTGCCCAGCGGCAGCTGCCCCCACTCTGAGGCGGCCTCCGCGCCGGGGCAGCGCTCGGCACACATGGCACGGCTGCCCCGCCCCGCCCCGCGCGCAGCCGCCGCCTCCACCAATAGGGGAGAGCGCCGCTAGGCACGCACACACCCTCCCCCACCCCCGCGGGGGCGGGGCTGGGAGCGGTGGGAGAGCGCTCCCCACACGGACCCGGGGCCGAGTACACGCACGCGCACTTTCCGACCAATGGGAGGGCGAGGGAGTGGAAGGTGGGGGCAGCGCGTGGCGAGCGCTCGCCCCAACCCCGGCAGCATGGGTTGCGCATGCGCTCTGGAGGCGCCCGCGGGCGGGACGGGGACGTGGGCACGTAGACGGGCGCGCGGGCTGCGTGGCCCGGGCGCTGAGAGGGGCTGGAACCCTTCAGCCGCGCAAGGGGCCGTGCGGGCGGCCCGCCGCAGCCTTCCACTCAGCCTTCTTCTGGGGTAACAGTTTGCAAAACAGCCGCTCGCGTCCTCTTTTAGCAGGTGGGGACGCGAGTTGGTACTGAGCGCGCTGTGGAGATGCTGAGGTAAGGCGCCTTGCTGGGAAGCGGGCGTTCTTCCTTGTTAAACTTGTCTGAGGGAAAGGAATTCGAAAGTTAGAATAGCACAACAGGTACTGTGTTTTAAAAGGACTAGGTACGGCATCGTGTGAGGATCTGACGAAAAACGTATTTCAAGAAGTCCATCTCTTATTCATGCCCATTCTGATCTTTATTACATTTATCTCACTGTTTTGAGGAAGTGCAGAAAAAGACAACATGGAGAAAGCACCAGGCTTGGGAAAAGACTTGTGCAGCAGCGCTGTAAGTGCATGTGAGTGCGTTTTGTAAGCCCTGGTTAAAAATTAATATAATTAATAAATCCTGAATTACTTTTTAATATTGTAAGTATGCTATCTAGAACTACTGTGGGGGGTTTATATCAATAACTGCCTTCTCAGGTATTGACTTTCTCAGACAGTACTTCTGCACTGAAAGCCTCACTTACCCACGTTTTTCTCATTACTCACCTTGTGCCTGTTCTTTCCCTGGGGGAAGTCACACCCCTCGCTGAGGGGAGGGATTTGAAGCAGCAGCTTTTACCTGTCAGTCCAGCACCCTTCTACACTGCTTTTCTGAGAGTCTTAGGAAATGAGAGTAGCTCTAGGCACTCAGCCCTTCCCTGCTCTTGTATAACAATACAAAATCTCCATCCAGTCTTTACTGACGGGTAGGAGGATTTTCTGTCTACTGATTAGCTTAACCTTGAAGGAAACAACCACAAAAGAGATCACCAGGAGAGTAATTAAACATAACTAATTCCCTTGCTAACCAGAAAATGCCTCATTCTGTATAACCATTAACCTTTTGATTGTGCGAAGCAGTAGGTAATACAAAATCCTGGAGACCAAAAGGATGTAAGAGGTTTTGAAAACTTACAGCTCTGTTCTGAATGGTATCTATTTTGTAACTTACTTGACCACTGAGCTGCTCCTCTAGAATCCTGTGCTTCATGTATTACCTGTTTATATTGAACTGTTCTGCTCTTTGAAAAACAGATCAGCTTCAACCACTAAGGCAAACTTGAGTATGGACCAGTATTTTTGTCTGAGATCATGCAATTACCATGTTATGGTCTTTTGAATTAATGCCCACAGCAAGCATTATAAGCATAACATATGAAATATGTATTCAACAGTGTAAATTCAAAACAGCAGATGATATTTTGATGTTCAGGAAGCAGAGCTGAGGCACAGAGCAGGGAGTGATTAATCCAGGGGGTTCCCAGAACGAAGTCTCTGACAGACTATCTGAAGACTATTGATGGCACCTCGTTGTCTATGTGGAAAAAGGTCTAAACTTTCTGTAACACATAAAATAGTGTTTGTGGAAAGTTTCTTCAGTTTGCATCTTACTTTGTAAGTGGACCTACTTACAAAATGTTCAATAGACACTACTTAACCTTTTCCCTTATTACACCTTTTGATTTGAGCATACACCTGGTAAACAGTAACAAGACACAAGTATCTAAAGCAACACTTACATTGAGAAATACTCACAGTTTGTGACACATAACATGTCTTCGTGCCCCATCTTCAATGACTTCAGAGCAATATACTCAGCGCGTTAAGTGAAGGATTCATTTACACAGAATTAAATTATAAGCACAGACTTTTTAGCCTGGTATTCTTAGTAGGATACGAGTATGGAGCAGGGGTGAATTCCCACTATAGAAACTTTTTTAACGTTGTCTAAACACAACTGACTTTCTTTTGGGTACAGAGTACTTAAAAATGCCTTATGGAAATGGGCACCCTACTACTGCCTGCAGTAAGGAAAGCGCTTCAGAGTAATGCTCTTTTTGGACACCAAGGAGTTACAATACATGAGGTAAATTTCAAGACATAAATCCATAGAAAACCAGGCATCCTTAGCTCTACATTCTTCAAGTTATATGGTGGACTTTAAAAAACCCTTACATAATAAGCTTAAAATAATCTATGCTGTGTTACAAAACAATGTAACTGGAAAAATTTCTGTATGAACACTAAATTGTTCCCAAGTCACTACATTAGCTGCAAAACAAGCAATGCACAACTGTATCAGCAGTTTTACAGAAGACTGTCTCCAAATTTAGTCTTTTTTCATCCAAAAGAATTTATATATTGTTTCTAATGCAGTTACAACCTAGGATATCTCTTAATTTCTCCATATTGATGTCTGGAATAATGCCTTCTTGTGATCATTTAATTAATAACCAGATATATAATTAGCTAATCCAATCATTTATATTCTCTAGACTTTCTTTATATATCCCTAAGTACTACTGGTACCTGAAAATGATAGTGCTATCTTTGTGTTGAAAATTATAATGTTATCAGTGTTAGTTGCATTCACAGAGTAGGAGGTAAACAGACCATCATGATAATGTTTCACAAAACTGAGTCCTCAGATTTTGAGCCCAGCTGACCACAGCTGTTAATTCTGATTATCCAGAGGAAAACTCCAGACTAATGCTTAAATAACATGTCACTCATGCAACACCTCAGCATCTTACAACACAGGTAGATGAACTCATTAGCAGTGTAGTCTGAATTTTTGATCCCAGGTTCTATCCATGTGTGCATTTTGCTTGCAACATATGTACCATCATCAGTGATTATAGTTGGATCATAATTTGCTTTATAAATTCCAAAATAGAGAAGGATGATTCAGAAAAAGCAAAATAAGTGCAGTTATTCTTATGAGTGGAAATTACTGAAAATTTATCACACAAAGCCAATGAGAATGGACAAGCCTTCTTGTCCACACTTTCATGAGAATATGTTTTCATTAACAGACATTTACTTTTCTTATTTTCTTCCCACTCTTTGCTTATGCAAAGCAAGCTACACCATCACTGAAGTAGACAAACATAACTGAATTCCCATTTCAGAAACAATTTGAATATGCTCAAACAGCTGCAGACACATTGTTTTGCAAGAATAGCATTTGTGAAAGATGACTCAGGAACCTGAACTCCACTTTTTAGACAACTGCTGTAGAACAGGCAATGTATGCTTTTTCTAGTTTTTCCTGCCAGCATGGCCCAGTGGTAGGTCCTCTAAAACCCAGCTAGGGAAAAGAGGATGTTCTTTCCCTCCCTGTCCATGTCGAACAGGTTGTCAGTAGCATTGAAACTAATATCAAATGTACTGAAGGTTTTCCCTGCATTCATTCATTCAATAGAAACATTAACAAACTCGTAACTTCATACAATTTGCCAAAACTAATTCAGAGGTCACTAAAGATCATGACATAAAACCCTGAGTTACAAGATTTAGGAAGAGATACAAACACCTCCAGAATGTTGAATAAGCCATTTAGGCTATCCCATCCAAGTAGATTTTGCTAGAAGCTCATAGTCTTAGTGGCAGATATCTGCATATGTATCCTTATATTAGGAATTGTTACTTTTCCCTCCTTTTGAAAGTTACTACTGCACTTTTATATAAGAGCTTCCACCTCTGCATCCCTTAGGTATATAATCACTGGGATTTGTTAGAACTAAATAAATCAATAACATTAATCAAAAAAAAAAATCCATAGAAAAGGTTGCTCCACAAACAGCAAAATTAATGAAGTCTAGTTTCCTATGGATTTGGGTCATGTCCCAACACCCCTTTTCAGGCCATGGTAATCCCAGGTATCCATCATTTCATGTTTTTCCTTTCTCTTCCCTCCCAGCAAAGGCTTCAGGTTCTTCAGTTGTGGGAATGCACCACTTCACCTCACAAGCCTCACAGAAAATACAAAGCTTGTGCTGAAACTTTTTCCTCAAAGGATACCTTGAGCATCCTTTGAGGAAAAGCTGAGTTCTGTCACCCAATAATTGCTAATTTTCATGAACTTAATTGTCTTAGAGCTTTCTACCACTCATCCAATTTTTTTGAAACTGAACAGTGGGCTTGAAGTGGGTCTAACATAGATGGACAGAGTAGACAACTGTTTAAATCTTGTTTCCTTATTAAAACAGGCCTGAAAATCTGGCAGAGAAGGAACTGTCTATAGGAAAATCTAACTGGGACGTAAAATAAGACAACTAGTTGGACTGAAATTATAGCTGTAAGAAAATTGTTTATTGTTCAGGTATAGAAATTGTTGCTCCAGCTGTCATGACAAACTTTACATTTTCAAAACCAAGTTATTAGATTACATATCAGCATACCTTCAATCTTAAGAAATAATGTAGTGCAATGAGACTAAATAGAATAAATAATCAGGATCTCGAGAGTAAAAATTCATACCACAAATAAGTCTGCATAGAAGTGTATTTATATGTCTTCTATTAACACAGTATCCAACCTCTTCAAAATAAACATATCTTTTCACCCTCAACTTTTAGGAGACATAGCTTCATGTTTGAAAGTGTGTATGTGTGCATAAGCCTGTGTGTTTGTGTGTATACTTGTGTATATATGTAACAATCTTAGGAAGAGGCAGATCAAAAGAGAATTTATTTGTGAATGATCATAAGCCTTGTTTCTTCTGCAGTGGGAGCAAATGACAAAGTTTACATCCTCTGTCTGCTCAAAGTTTACATCCTCTATTCTGTTGTGCCTGTTCAGGAGCACTCCTTCATTTACCAGGAATTTTACAGCAGTAGTAGAATTTAGAGTGATATCATGACACTCAGGTGCTTAAATCCTATTTCACATAGAAGGCTTTGATTATCAGGACAGACTTTGAAATCAAACTCTGCATTAAGTGCACAGCCAGCTGAACTCCAGGGCAAAGTTATCACCATGACCTGTTGCTAAATACATAGGGCTGCTGTGTTTTACAACTGCTGAGGTTTTTATAACATGGAGGTTTGTTCCTGAGTATGAGTTGCACCCATGAAATATGAAGGTCAGTGATGCAAATATTGTTGTGGTCAGGAATGAGGCTAATAGAAAAGGACAAAATGTACAGCTAGTCATGGAAAGAACGTTTTTGTTTTCAGCAGGCTGAAGAGTCAAAGAGAATCCCAGTGCTTCACTATTTGACACAGGTGCTCTGTTATGAAGCACTCCCCTTTTCCTGAAAGCAAAAATCCAGTACCACTTAAGCTTACTGTCATCCAGATGCTAAATCAATGTCAGACACATGATAATTCTGTCAGGCTATTTAGGATTCAGTGTAATCCAGATGCTAGTTCAGCTTCATCTGGATGCTAATCTTGACAGTGCACTGAGAATTCATGAAGAAGCTGGTTTTCTTCCAACTTCATACATATGTTCAGACAGGAAAACCAAGTTGTAATTTGACTCTTAAGGTGTGATGCAGCTCTTAAGATTGAGAAATTGTTACAGTCATCTTAATTAAAAGCACTTCAGATATCTCAGAGTATTGTTTCAGCTCTGAGGATGACAAAGAAATCATATTTGATAACCAGAAACATACAAGGCAGAAGAGAGTTGCAGCAGAATGATTACAGATACAATTTCTTTATCTTTTGACAGAATAAATAGAAAACAAAGCACAAATGGTATCTGTACTGTGCATGGGTTTATGCATGACCCAGTAAATCTTAATTCACAGGTGGCATTAGAATCAATTTTTCTAAATCCTCATGAGAATGGTTAGGTAGAAGGCAGTAGTTTGTGGAATCACTCTTACAGAGTGACTAGGTCTTTGGCACTGTTGGGATTATTGCACAAATTAGGACATGTAATATATTCATCTATTTCAAGGAATTATGCTGTTTAGGGATAGCTACATCTAACAAATAATTAGACAATCTCATTTAAGAAAACTTTTTATGCTGATATCCAGTTATACCGTGCATGCCTTTATTTGCATATATCAAATGGACAATTAACAGTGCAAAAGCTTGTTATTGAAAAAGCTGTGAATGCAAGCAGATACACTTTTAGATTTTAGAGCTCATATGCCCCCTAGAAATGGCTTTCAGTTCTTCCTGGTGAATTCTGGCTTTTTCCTGGTGAATTCCTGCTGCTTATGGCTGTAAAGTCAGACTGTGATTCTTTGCCCTGTAACAAAGTTTTACAACCTCTCTACAACTCCAGATATTTTCAAAACAGGAAAAAAGAACTTGTTATGAAGGCTGGTTTCTATAGGCCTTCATCATGCTAAACTACCACTCCCAATTCTTCTTGTATGTACTTACAAACAGGATACTGAATGTTATCACACAATTTTAAATAGATGTTTTCAGTGAAGCCTGATTTAAAGCTTTCCAAATGTATCTTTCAAATAACAGATGAAAAGTAACAAATACCTCTTCAAATATATAATGCTTATGGTTATGTGGTTTTATCCATCAATATGATGAATAAAAAATTATTCCCTATAAAATTCCTTATTTTAATAATACATCTAAATATATTTAATTCTAAAATCTGAAGCCTTTGTGACACTTCTTGAATATTGGAAGCCATTGTGTCATTCCCATCTCAGTGCAAAGCAGGCTGACTGGAATCCTCAAAAGTGCATCTCAAGTTCTTTCCAAATGTATTAAACCTAAGCTGTCCCTATAATTAATCTTTGCTTAAAAGTCATAAGAAAAATGTGTGTGATTTCCTCCCTCCAGGGACCAATGAGTCAGCTTAGACATTTTAGGAAGATGAGTTCCTAGCTGTGCTGTTGTAACCTCTGGTAGGTGTCATGAGCAGACTATGGACTGCCTGTGGTTCCATCTAGAATGATCTGAAAAAGAATTTTTAAAAAATCTTGCTTATTTGAGCATATTCATGTTTTGAAACAATCCAGCATTTCATAATACCGAAGCAGTAGGTTAAAGTTTGAATATGATCAGTTCCCACTTTAGGTAAATATCTAACTAGATAACACAAGATTATTAACAAATATTTGAGCATGTGAATAGTGAATGAAGCCTGTGACCTCCCCATGTCAATAAAGATAAACACATAAGCACCAAGAATTCAGATGTTTAGATAGAACAATATGTCTGGGATGCAAATCATCTCACTCTACACAGGGAACACTGTCTTAACACTTCATAATAGGTGCTCAGTAAACTGTGAGAAATCCAGTATATCTTCAAACAACTCACTGGTCATGATAGAGTACCCAGGGGTGGTTTTGATGCATAATCTCTATGGCTTTGACTCAGCATGAAAAGCCTTGCATTTGTCAGAGTATTAAATCTGACTTCCCCCTCTGTCTTTCCTGATATGTCAGCATTTAAAGCCAATCAGAATTGTCTTTTCCTCTCTACTTTAGATGATACTGATATCCGCTGAAAGAAGACAGACACTTGGACTCCAACAAAGAAGTTAATTCTTAACTTTTCCTCAGTTTTAATCACTATCAGGCATGTGTGTGTGTGTCTTACATTATATATTTGGAATCCTTAACAATTGGCAGTAATTTAAATTAAAATGACAAGAATGTCAAAGAAAGTGCTTTTTCAGGAGTCCCTGTGGTGTTGCTGAACAGTAGTTCTTTTAAGAACTTTAAATTATTTTACTTAAAAATACAAAAAGCTCTGGTAACATTTGAAATCTTGATAAATGCCAGCAGATGACAAAAGTCCTAATGAGGCCAACATGGGAAGTACAGGTACAAGTGGACTAGAAAACATCTCTAAAATAAAATAAAGATTGCAATTCTGTGATATGATACTGTCTGGTTCTTAACACCAGTGGTCTCCAAAATCCATGCAATTCTTGGTGGACCCATATGGGACACACTATGTCCTAACATGCTGTGGTTTTCTCTTAAGGTCTATGGCTGCATATGGAGAAACTTCTTGGGACCTACCTAGTCCCAGACTCCAGCATCTTTGAATTCACCCTAATAGCTTCTAAAAGAAAGTTCCATTCCAGGAAAGAGAGGACACCTCAATCACAAGAAAGGATTAAGTTAGGAGAAGATTTAAGAGAGTTATTGGTGAGATGCTGTATAAGAAATAATGCATAAAACATTTCTTCGCCTAGTGACACCGTCATCCTTGTCCCTCACGTGTACTTTTCAAGCTTCTGTGTTCCCCCTCAGGGATACAAATAAACAAATTCCTGCAAAATCAGAAAAGGGAAAAGGATGGAAATCATAGGAGCCATCCTACCTATAGCCCCATGTTATTTTACTACTACATTTCATACTCCCCTGTGAAAGAAATGCTTTATGTCTCTCAATGAATAACAGCTCTTTCTAAGTACTAACAGGGTTAGGACACTTTAAGGACCTTCCACTATTTCTGATGACCATGATGGACTTGTTTCTAAATGTAAACAAAAGGCATTCCTTTGGAGCACGGACTGAATCTCCTTATGATTATGAAGAAAACATGCAAAAATCTCTTAGAGGTGTCAGAAGCAAGGAGTAACATTTTCAGAGACATCTTAGTCACTTGTGAGTCTAAGTAGTGACTTCCAGTAGGTACCTTGTTTGTGCCACCAGTGGAACGAGATGGGCACCCTGCAAGAGTTGCAGTGTCTACGTTAGAGAACTGTCTATTCAGTAACTACATATGGAATTTGTGCATATTAGCAGTGCAACTCAGTACTTCCATGTACTGAATTTGTAACTGCCTGTAATCAAGGTGCTCAAAAAACAGGAGTCAGAAGACTTTGTCTGGACAGATAACTGATACAGGTCTGCCAACATACAGGAAAGTCCCAGATCTATGATTGGATTTATTAGCAAGACAGGAGGTAGTGGCAACAGTTTGACATTATGTTACTCATTGCAGAATACGCCCTGGACAGGGACCTATAGGGTGCTAGATGCTCTTTATCCACAGAGGTCAGGTACAACTCCTTGACTATCAGGAGGCCATGCTCCCTTACTGGGCTATTCTGTATTTCCTGGCTAAGGGTAATTCTCTGTTCTGTTTCTTGAAGCAATCTACCACACAGTGAAGAATGTAAGGTTTACAAGTCCAAGGAGAGGAAAAAGAAAAGGGGAGAGTCATGGAACTGAGGCCAGTGGCATTTCCTTCAGAAGGTCCAATCATTCACACATTGTCATATCAGCATTTTTGTTTTAATTGTTACATTATTTAGTAAGATTTTTTTTCATATATGAAATAAAGAATTCTGTTGATCTGTCCTTAGCTAGATACTACAAAGACAACTGGAAGCAAACACATTACAATACTTAGCAAAGAAATGAACTAGCAATGAAAGAAATGGAAGAAGGCATTTGCTTGACTTTGGTCAGCCTAGAAGTTTGCTGTCTAGTCTAGATTCATCTCCTCAGCTCACTTTATAGTCAATGGGAAAAGATAAATACTTCCCAGAGAGTTACTGATCCCATCCACTCTCAATGTCTGTTTAAAGATTAATTGTTCTGTTTCTCCCCACTTAGATTTATGGAGCAATTAGTTGGTAACACTATACAAGCTGTAATTGGTGAAATATGGTCTGATAAAAATATCAGGTGCAGCAACTTATTCTGTATGGAATTTATGAAATTAATATCTCTGCTTGAAAATAAAGCAATTAAATTAAGAATTTAAAAAATACTGGAATACATGTCTATACTGAATTTGTAAAATTGTAGAATAGCTCTACTGCCTTATATGTCCTTATACAGCTTTAACAGCCTGTGGATGTTATAGGGAAGAGTTATGTGTAAAAAATTATTACAAAAATGTCTTGCAAACATACAAAATCACTTGTATGCTCATAACACTTCATTTATTACATATATCATATTTGCTTTCTTCTTCAGTCTCTAGCACCAGAGATAATTCTTGTCTATTTTGTCATCTTCTACATTGACATGAAATATATAGCATAATCTAGGGAACTGCGTTAGTTCAGTTTAACAAGGAAAAAAAATGCCTATATTAAGAAAAGAAAGAACTATCACTGGGGTTTTTGAGACAAACGGGTAGAATAAAATGAAATAAAATGCAGGCATACTTTCTAATTATATATCTTGTAATGAAACAGTCACTGAGAATCACACTTAATATTTATGTAGTCTTAAGTAGAGGTAATCTCTAAAACTGAGTTACATCAATAAAAAGAAGACAACTTATTCACACACATCCTTCAATGAAAATGAAAGCATGGAAATTAAAAATTTAAACAAGTGCTCTTCAATATTCAGGATCTAATCTCTTGCAGCCAAATGGACTTTTCTAAGCTCATACTTAAAACTAGGCTCACCCTGTTCAAAACCCATGAAGTATATCTTTCTTCCTGTTTTGAAATGGGAGTTCCAAGGACAGGCATGTGTAAGATGTGAATGTCTGCATGTAAAGCGGGACTTGGGTACTAGTAAATGAAATGTCAGCAAAATCAAAACTTCATGGCTCTGAGACTAATAGAAGAGATTAAGGTCATCAGGAAATGCTAGAAGTCATCAAAAAAGTACCTGAAACAGATTGTTAGAACTGCTGCCAGTAACTGGACATAAATGAAGGACAGATGCTTAAACTAAAAGGTCAATTAAAAACAGCACCTGACACTCATATCTCAGAATCTGTTTGCTGGATGCCATCTGAGTATTTGTCTCAGAAGTCTCTGCAAATCAAAATAAATATTTAACTTGTAAATCTGTGCTTCTTCACTGCTTTGACATTCCCTTTCCCCTCTTTTTTTTTTTTTCTTTTTTTTTTTCTTCCCTAAAAGAACAAAGAGTTCTTATCATCAATAATTTTGGAAAGGAATCAAGCTCCATCCAGAGTTTTCAAGTTACCAGAAACGCTTTGTAAAGTCAATAGAGACTATTTAGGAATTACAGAGGTAATGTTTGATTACCTGGGAGCAATCCAGGGAGTTCTCAGAGCTAAGAGTTTTCCTATTTCCTAAACAGAAAAAAGGTATTTGTGAGAAAATGTCATATAAGAGCATCATGCTTTGTTTAGAGCACCAAATGCTACTGAAATGTAGTTAAGCAACAATTAATAATGGGAACAAACACTGTAAACTGCAATCTATTTGCCTAATGAGGAAAAAAAGACTTGTTTTTTTAAGGAAACAGATACTTGTAGCTGTTAGTCGTGCATGACTTGATTCTTGTTGAACAGTTGTTAAAAACAGGAGTTTATATTATAAAGAACAGTATGTTACTCAGTTGCAGAGGTAAACTACTGCTATGAACAACAACTCAAACATGCCTGCTGTGGTTCTTCTATTAGAAAATCAAATGTAATCGGCAGATCCTGTATCCACTATAGCAGTTTGGCACAAGCTAGTGAATTCGCTCCAGAAAGGTGACTTGTCTTTTGATAAAATAGCAGAGATTTTACATCTGACAGCTGTTTCTGACTTGGTTTCTGCAAATGTGACCCCAGCCTTGTTGTGAGATGTATTAACAGCTTCTAGAGAAGGACTACGGTAGCAGTTTGCCCTTGTTTTACTTGCATTCTTCCCTTTGAGGAGCCTACATTTTTGTTTTGTTGGAGAAAGCTGGCAAAACTGGTGTGTAAATCTTGACCTGCAAATCTCCTAGTGAGTTAGTTGTTACAGCTGATCGGGAATCAGTGTTTTAATTTAACTACTGCATAGTAAGTATCTTAGTAAACACATTGTGCTCCAAGCCATTAGTAACTACCTAAGTGCTGATGTGAATAGACTCAACTTTTACTTACTTAAGGAACAACCAGTATCTCAATACCACTAGTCACTTCTACTGAAATGCACTTAAGAAGCCTTTAGGTAAAGCTTGACAATACTAAAATTTCTTAACCCTCAGCCTTTTGTCAAAAGAGTATTCCGCTGCTATAAAGATGTGTAGATACCTGATCTGACAAAGCCTTGCATTTTAACAGTAATAAGTCAAAATACTAAAAGGAATTATCCTCTTCTACCTGAAAAGGGATATCTGTAACAGATGAAAGTTATAGACAGCATCAAAAAAAAAAAAAAAAGTACTATTTTCATTGCTCACACAAAAATATCCTGAAAGAATTACAGCATTCCCAGGAAAATTTCTGCTTACCATATCCCCTGCTGCTCACTTGAGTTATTTTTCCATCGTCTTCATCATCACTATCACAGTTTAATGGCTGTAAAGGTATTTCTGACTCTGTGTCTACTTGATTAGCATCTGGCTCTTGCTCAGCAAAGCTTCGCAATGCCACAAGGCGGTGATGCATTGCTACATACAGGTATCCAATGTCTTTTGAGCTTCCCTGCAGAACATAAAATGCATACAGTCCAAACTGAGAAAAATCGCTATTTTTCACAGAGAAGCTGACTGAGAAATTTTCAAAAGTAATGAAAGAGCTGTTTTTCATCCTTTTTAATCAAAACAACACATTTAAGATCCACACTTAATAATTAATTTCAGAAAATAAATTAAATACAAATAATGTCAAGTTTAAGTGGTCTGAGTTTTATAATACATAGCTGTTGATTATTTTCTCTATAGTTACAGAAACATAAGCTTAAAAATTACTTCCCCTGAAGAATGGCTCAGCTTGTACTCAATTCCTGAATACAATTTTAGAAGTAAGAAAGCACTGTAATGTTAATGTATGTATTGCATTTTGGTTTACAGAATAAGAATTTTAAAACCTAACTACAAAAAAAATATTTGTGATTTTAAATTTTAAAGATACCACAAATTCTGCTGCTATTGTTGAACAGATTAGCATCATCAAGAGGGATACTGAGAACTAGACAAGGCAGTGTTTTGCCAGTACATAAAACCTTCAAGCAGCCATGTCCTGAGTACTGTGTTCCATTCTGGTCATCGCACTTGAAGGATATAGTACAATTAAAGAAGGTAAAGAGAAAGGCACCAAAAATGATCAAGGGTGTGGTGGAGGTCCTTAGGAAGAGTTGAGATTTTTCAGTGTGAAGAGAAGGATGAGAAGGGAGTATAACAATGGTTTTAAAAATCATGGAAGTGGTGGATAAGCTGAATATGTTACATCTGTTCATCAGACCACACAATAACTGCACTAGGGTATGCTTAATGAAAATAGTAAAGGATTATCATAAAAGAAAGTGCTTCTTCACAGAGTAAGAACTTGCAGAGTAAGAATTTGCTGCCTTAGGAGAGTGGGGACAGACAGTATAAACTAAAAACAAGAGGCCAAAAATATAATCACAGAAGTTTAAAAAAAGGGATTAGAAAAATTCAGGGACAATCATTTCATAAAATAGATAGCAAGGGAAACAAGTAGGTGTGCATGCTCTCACATCCCTAATACAACATTTATGGACACTGAGGATCAGTGAGGTGAACAGACCATACAGAGTGGCCATGCTTGCCTGTGATTCCTAAAAGCACTGTCAGAAGTGCCAGTAGAGTACTTCTTATGTTCTTATGAAGCAGATCATCTACCAGAGGGTAACTGAATGCACATGGTTTTCTGTAGCACAGTTCTCCACTTCTGTGCATCATGTGGAGTAACTTCTATCTGTATCACTTGGCTACAGGAATAAATATGTCTTGTTTGGATGAGAATGATGCATTTCAGTGCATATGGGTAGAAAAGCTATGTGAATTGGGAAGTAGCAGCAGATCAGGGTTGCCTTCTGTGCTACCCAGAGTTGCAGCAGCAAACAATTCTCTCTCTATAGTCAAAGAAGAAAGCAATTCAGAGTTATTCAGGTGTCTCAACTGCAAACACAATTCTCGGTGGACAAACCAGAGTTCTCAAGATAACACAGCTTTTCAGGAAACTTAAGGTCATAAATACGAAAAAGGCAGCTATTCAGTCTGATCATTTCTATCCGTAGCTTCCTACTTACTCATCCAAAAGCCAGAGTTCCTCTGTCACTTTAAATCTAATATGAACTCCAGCTTCTGCCAAGAGGGGTGGACTCACCTCTGTACATCCCCTGACTTCATTTCTACCCTCTCCATTGTGCCACAGGGTGAATTTATAATTAAGCTAGAAAACTAACATAGCTAAAACAAACAAAAAAAACCACTAGATCAGTTCTCTGATCTGCCTCACTCACAGCTGTACAAATTCCAATGCCACCAAAAGTGAGGAGGAGTAAACAAGCATGAGAGGAGAGGGCAGGGTCAGCCCTCTGTGCAAACATGGGTGAGTACTACAGGACCAGCCTAGTGGAGTCATGTGGACTGACTGCTCTGAGTCAGCATCCTATGGCCCTTCTACCTCACTCATGAGAAGCCCTTTGGGCAGTATCCCTGAACTGAATGTATCAATCATTCACATGACGTGGGAAAATCAAATTTAAATGGCAGTTAAAAATACCTGCTGGTGTCTTGGAGGAGTGGGCTCCACTGACTACTAGACCAGCCTGATTTATGTGCCGAGGCTTTGGTGATGCCTGCTGGCTGCCTCACACATTGACCAATTTGCCTTCCACACTCAAGAGTCTCAGTTTGGCTAGATACCAGATGCTTCAGTGACAGCTGCAAAAGCAGTTTTCTGCAACCCTTGCCACACACATACAGCTGTCATGTATCATGGTTTCCTACTACATGTCTTTTTTTACTGTCACGAAGTGCCAGGACAGAATTTAAGGAAAGCTTATATCCATATACACTAGAAAAACTGTGCAGCACACCTGGAAATCTAGAACATTTCTAATTATCACATGCAGTCCAGCCATGCAGCACAGCTATAATTAAGTCAATCACTGTATGGAAGTGATAGACTTATAGTGGTTGCATATACAGTGCATGGTGGTTTGCTTGTGTATGACGTGACACTTCCTGGAAGTGGAAAGTTGTTTTTCTTGCCCAGGAGGCTGAACCTTTCCCAGAAAGGTCTACTGCGAAAACCGGAGACATTGTTAAACTCATGTGGATGCTTTCAGTTCCCAGCACAGGACATAGGTGCTGTTTATTTGCAAATAAGTCTACCACAGTTTCATCCTCAACTTACTATCCCTTCTTAGAGAAAACTAGGATTCCCAACACTATTGTCTTACATAAGGTGATATTGCAAAATCTGTGTTCTCCTCAACTGAGAAATGGAGGTCCTGCACTGGATGAATTATTGCAGACACTGTGTTGAGAACTGTGGCAGAAAGCTGCTGCCTTGTATGAAAGTAACTTACAAATATGTAATTATCTGTGTAGAAATTCTTACAGTGTTGCTTTCATAAGAAGTAGCTGTTGCATATGACTGGAGTGACATCCATTCCATTGTTGATATGTGAACTAGAGTCTGGAAATGTCTGTCCTAAGGCCATATCCCATCTTCACACCTTTTTTTTTTTGAAATATCAAGGGGTAACAGTTTTAACTCATTTCATAGTAAAAAACATGTAACAGGTAAGCTAAGCATAATCTGACAGAGCATAAAAGGGCATTTTCTAAAACCAAAGCCTCAGCAAGTCTTCAGAATCCTGGCTGAAAGTGGCATTTGGTGGGATTTTTCTCTCTTGCTCACCTGAATTAGAAATACTTGAACAGAGTGGTCCTCTTGGTCTGTTGCAGTGAAGCACAGGGTCTTTCTGCTTGCTCTTTTTATAACCATTTGACCCCATAGTCGGGTGTTGAGAATCAGTCTCAAGCTGCCTTGATTTCGCATAACTGAAATAAGAAGGTTTCTATGATAACTCATTGGAACCGTCTTCATTTTTACTGCAGCATTTTTCTCTAGCACTTGTATACAACTAATATTTTCACGAGTTATTCTTTTTAATTTGTTATAAAACCTGACACAGTGATATAATTCTTTTGGGGGTTTTTGTTTGGTTTTTTTTTTTTTTTAATAGCAAAATACATTTGTTTCTTTCAATACCTCTGGCATACAAAGCAAATAATCTGCTGAAACTGTGCAATAGAGTACAAAAAATGACAGCACCTTAAAAACAACATTCCAGAAGTGACTTGAAACAGTGCTCCTGGAAAAGCAGAATCAACAAAGAGCAAACTGACAGACTGGTGACTGAGCTAAAGATACATTGCAGTAGAAATACACAGAACCTAACACATGCAAATGTGAATGTACAAACTGAAAAATGCCCAGTGACTCAGTCTGTAACACTGATAACTTTATAAAGCAATGTTAAGAAGATTCTCAGCAATTTGACTTAAATAAAACTAGCTACTCACAGTTTTAAATGTTCTGAAATAAACTAACTTTTGACAGCAACAGTATAAGTTATTTAGTGTTTTGTGTATGTGTTACTTTGTTATCTAATTCCTACTTAGCCTTGACAGCAACATTCCACATTTATTGCTGGAAGTGTCATTAAGCCTCAGGGATCCTCTGCCTCTTTCAATCCAGGTTAAAGAAATCTTATTAAATACAAAGAGGTTGCAGTTGATCTGAAAGAGAAATACATGATAGAAGTTGCCAGCCAATGTTAATTTTATTGGTTCTAAAACCTTATGTTTTTAAACCTTCTGATATGGCTTTTGATACATCCCTATGTATGTATACAAGGATAGACATAGATATATCATCATTATTACTTAAAATGTCTCTCAGATCTGTGCTGAACTTTCTGCTAGTCATGGAAAACATTCAGCATGAATCCCAGTTTACTTTTTCAATTATTTCATCTTCATTAACTCTTAATCTGTGATATCCACGAACACAGTTGAATCTGTTGCGAGTGTTCAGTCTTATTCCCTCACTCATTTGAAGCATTATGCAGCCCAGGACATCAATGCCACTACCAAGAGAGTACTACTCCAGAGAGAGTAAAAAATCCATGTTCTGACAAGACAGAAGATTTAATCAATGATAAAATAATGTAACTTTCAATGTTAAGATTTTTTTAAACCATATAAATTATTGCTATTTTCCAAGAAAATAATATTTTGAAGATGAAGAATAGCAAGATATATTCTGCCGAAAGAGAATTAGTATTTTAGATTAACTGTAAAACTAATTACTTTGACAACACATTGCTTTAAAAAAAAAAAAAAAAAGTTTTGTGATTAAAAAAATCTCAAAACACTTCCAGTTTTGAAGTTTTAGTTACTGCTGGTATACTGTGTAGATGTTTATAAAATACAACTGTAGAATGAAGCTCTGAAGCAGTCACTTACTGAAAGGGGCTATTCAATGAACAAATAGAATATGAAAAAGGAAGTATCAGCATACAGAAAAATGGGTTAGCAGAGGCATATCTTAAAAAATTGAAAATTGAAAGTATATACTGAAGTTATTTTCAGATTGCTGCAATCTGTAAAAGATCTAGATGTTCTTTTCAACAACAAAACTCACCATCAAGGCTTTATGAAATACACACCTGTAGTACATTGTGTTCTGCCTCTTCTCCGGTTATAACTTCAACTTTATCTAATAGAATTTTCTCCACGGGCTTGGAAATACAAGCAGCTGCTGAATCAATTAACGTTGTATTCCTCAGCAAAGCTGTTTCTGTAGGGGAAAAAAAAAAAAAAAAAAAAAAAAGGAAATCCTTTCTGTACAAGGAATATTGTCAGGACAACAAAACTAGCACATAGGATGGCCTGTGACTTTAGTGATCCCTGTGGTGTCTGATATTATTTACTGTTATTAATAAGTTTTTGCCCAAAGAAGTAAATAGAAGAAAAGAAGAAAAAGACTGGTGTAATGCAAAATGTCTCACGTTTAGGCTCATTTTGAATTGAACAGGGCTCTCTGCACTTGCAGAGTTTTGCCCTAAGGGACAACTTGCAGAAACGAGCCCTAAATAAGTAGAAGTTGATTTTCCAAATGAAACTGGTCTATCATATTGCTGTGCAGATTAATAAATAATGAAAGACACATGTCTTAACATTCAGAATAGTAATACACATACAATGAATATTTGACAGAAACATAAAAGGATGAGATTTGAAAGGAACAACATTGTTACAAAATTCTGTACATTTGCATAATATATATACAATTTCCATAGGCTTTAATTATTTTTTTTGAAACTTGTCAGAATATTCATACGAAGTAAGAGAATACAATATATCTATTAGTAAAGAGGAGTGCAAAATTTGGCAAGAGGGCTTAAGATAGGGGCCTACTTGGGATTCCCTCACAGCCTAGGTATATGTGGCTTGCCTGAAAAGCTCACACCAGAATCACAAACAAACCCTGAAATCTGTCCGTATAGAAGTTTCAGTCCTACAATTAGGATACAAATATGGCAAAGTAATTTATATGAGCAGTCACAAAATACAAGGAGCAGCTTAAAATTCTAGTTCAAAAATGCAATCCAAAAGGCATTCACAAAGTTCACCTCTTTTCAAATGATGTGCAATAATAATCTGTAATAAATAATAATAATAATCTGTAAAACGCTATCCTTTCCTGAGTAATTTAGATCATTCATTCTGAATTTAGCCCAATTCAAATGACATAAACCAAACTGTGGCTGCTTTCTGAGCACAGATTTTGGTACATACTGCAAGTGTACTAGTGACTGGATAACTTGAGAATAGATGAAAATTTTTGACCACCACTCATTTGACATCCTCTAAATTACAGTGAAACATAATAATAAAGCTAATTGTACTTGTTTGCTAACTATGCTTACTTGTTTGTGGACTGTCATTAAAAGAGTCTGTGCACATGGATGTTACTTCTCCTTTGTATGAATGAGCTTCATTACACAGCTTGGGATGCTTTTCAGGACTCTGGAAAAAAAACCCAGGGGAAATAAGAATTCCTTTTTAAATAAAATGGCTATGTTACCTCATATCAAACAGAACACTGCATCATTTAATGTATACCAGGACAAAGACTAGCAATTATAATATCTTCAGGGTAGAAACTGACCCAGATGATACAACTTCAGTCTCAGTATTCTCTGATAACTGATTTTGTTACCATAAAATCAGTACATCATTCTTCCACCAAGAAGAATGGTCTCTTTTTATTGATCCTGAATTATAATTTAAATCCATGGAGGGATTTAGATGTTTAAGTACCAGTTAATTTCCAGTTTAAGCACCTGAGCCCCAGAAGAATAGTTTAAAACTCCCAGAAACCACGAACTTAACCTCAGAAAAATTAAGATCTATGACCTTTGCAGATGAAGTTTCTCTGGCATGTCTAAATAAATGCTTCTGTCTCCTGACAGTGCCCAATGGTTCAATACCTACCTTATAACTAAACCCAGACCTGTGGTTGCCAAGCTTTTTCACTGACAGATATGTGTCCTTTTTTCAGAAACTGAATTTCAATTCCATTTTAGGTAGTGCAGTCCTCAGCTTGGGAACCACCTTTTCGTCTGAGTTTCCTTCAGGACTTGATCCATTAAGCTGTCTCATGGTATGCACAATATAGTTTAACATGAACATTACCTAGGCTGGATGTTCAATCTACCCCTCATACTAATTTTTCCCATCTCTTAACAGTTGTGATGGAAACTATTAGAGCACTGAGGACCACATTCTTTTATCTCATATTGTGGCTGACCTCTTTTACATGGAACACATTAAAAATCCTTTTCCAGGTCAAAAAATGAGCAAAAGAGAAGAAATGCATACTGGTATGGATTAGTAATTAGAGTACTTATCTAGGATGGGGAAGATAGGGATGCCTACCCCTCCTACAGCATATTTATATATTTTCTCCTCAGTAGCCACTGGAATCATATTTACTGAAACCTCAAAAAGAACAGGAGGAGCTAAAAATAATCAATTTCTGAAAAAAAAGTTATAAGTACACTAACCTTGCTAGAAAGTCTACCAGCATTTACAGATCTTACCAAAACTCTCTCAACCATGTTTTCTCCAAACACAAAATGAGAATTGCTGCTGTTTTGTACACTTCTGTCTTCAAACAACTGACTTCTGTGGGAAAAAAATACTGTAAGAATGTGTTTTAGAACTATTTAGAACCTTGTAAAGAATATAATTAAGTTCATGCATTTACTTTACCACACCTTACATTAAAGACAAATCAAAAATTACCACTTAAGTAATCAGACTAATTCTTTAAAACAATCTGAGAATATTCTCTAAGTAACATTTCTCAAAAGGAACAGAGAATTCCATACTGTATTTCATGGAGATTATTGAGGATGTTCCTTAAAAGGAAAGAACAAGCAACAAAACAACATGCCTCCTCCTCCTCAGGGAAGTATCTTTCTCCAGAAACATTAATGAGTTACCCTTGTTTCCCTGTTTCCTTTTGCTCCACCAAAAGACTACCAACAATTAACAATTATCCCTTCAGGTTGGTGCAGCTCCGGTACCCTTCAGAATAATGTGCTCCCCTGTGCCTTACAGACATTCTTGTTCATCCACCTAACATCATGGAAAGGCAGAGAGGCAGTGTATTCATATATAATACACACACTTTCAATTCACATAAATACTGCAAAAATGTAAAGGTATGATAGCAGATGGCTCATGATGAGGTATAACTAAAGCAGGAAAGAAAGATCTTATTTCCACTTTTCAATGACCTGTTCTATAGACATACTTAAAATAAGAAGTAAAGAAAACTACATACTTGCAATCCTTTGGTACTGGTCAAATGTAGCTTGGGGATACAGATTTGGGAGAAAATTTCATACAGTAGATAAATCACCGGTTAGGATCTGAAGTGTGACTGGTTATGGCAGAAGCTACATTAAAACAACACTTGTCCCTCATCTTTTCTGTCCCTTTTTCTCTTTTCAGTGTCTCAGGTTTTCCAGATAAAAAGCTTTTTCTTTTTTTTTTTTTTTTTTTTTTTTTTTTCTTTTTCCCTATTTCCATCCTGGATTTAACTACTCTCAGTTAGCCACCTACCTCTCAGGAGGTTTTAAGAGAAGAAGGTGAATGCATTTTTAGTGACATAGTCAAAACTTGCAGGAAGTGTATTACTTGTGAATTATATTCAATAATATTCTAACATAAGTAGAGCTGTGATTGTCCTGCTCACTACATAGCCACTTTAAATTAACAGGACCCATTTTTTAGAAAAGTCACTAGAAAGTATTTGTAAACTTCTTTGTGTGGAAGTTGTTCCTGCTGCTGTTTTGGGGGATTTCTTTGTGGTTTTATTTTTACAAAAGGCTTATAGGTTGTTCATGTTTTCTGTAGAGCTTAATCACTGCACCTCTCGCTGGCAAAGGCAAAACCATACAAGTTTTTGTCTCTTCCTGTTCCAGAAGGACAACTTGTCAGGAAAACGATCTCATGTTCTGTCACAAACTGCATACTTCAGCACCACTTACCTTCTCTTCCAGATCATTTATCACCCCTGGGAGAGCCTAACAACACATACTTCATACAGAGGATATTACTGATAATAAGCTGAATTTGTTGCCAGAACTTTAAAACTTTTTCTGTTGCCAGAACTCTAAAACTTAGTTTCTATGTTCACATCTACACTGTACTTGAAATCTCTTCACATAGGATGAAGGAATTACCGAGTACAAGTTATCCCCATTTTACACTTGATGAAAAAAATACTCCGTAACTTTCTCATGCTTGATATCTTGCTACTACTAAGAGCAAATAAGAGAAATCAGAAAATCCATCCCTTTTCAGCCTTGAAGTCTTCCATAAGTGTTTTGGGCCATGAACAGGGAGTCTGAAGTGTGTTTAATAAGTTTATTTTCTTAAGAAAATTCCTCACTAAAATTCATTGAATTTCAATCAATTTCCATCCTGAAATTCTGCTACTACTTCTAGGCTGCTCCAGTAGCAACTTAGTAAGGATAGCACTGCAGAAGAGATAAAACCCAGAAACTAGAGGCTTGTCTCAAATAAATGGTATGGGAAATGGATTTTCAGACCTGTAAGGAAAAAGTAATCAGTGCAGGATCTTTATTTTTCCAAACAGTTAACTGGAAGTGCCAGCCTTAAAGTCTTACTAAAACCTCAATACCCTCACACTGCTGCAGGACAAGAACAAAGTGTACCACAGATGACATTGCCATGGAGATACAAAACAGAGGCACTGAATTCAGGGAATGACCACTAACAAGGAAGAATGGGAGGAGAAATGTGGGTAAGATACTGGAAAGGGACTACGAGAAGGGAGTAGATCCCGGTACTGTCCTCAGAGTCCAAGAAGGGTCTGAGTAGCTGCCAGATCCAGTGCAGGCCTCAAACCCTTGCAGTTTTCCAAGCAAATCCTTGTACAAGCCTGAATACATGACCAGAAGCCTGCGTTTTCCTAGCAGACTCAAGAAACTGCATATTTCTCCTTTTTAGTTCATTACTACAGCCAGTTCAGGAAATTGAACTGTTGGTTTCCTGGGACATGGAGTGCTGCAGCAACTGTGGAGTGCTAACAAACCATTTTCATTCATCTCTACAGAACTGTATCACTTAGAGAAGAAGAGGTCAAAGAGGATGGAAAGTAAAAGGGACGTCTGCAGGCAGCAGCAATCCCTGCTGTTGAATCTTTCTGCATTTTATTTTTTGTAGATAAATGCCAATAGCTACACCTTGACTGATAATTAAAACCAAATCTTAGCATTCTTAGCAATAAGCAGGCCTGGCTGCAATCTTCACTATTGTTTAACATGTATATGGAGTTTAATAAAGTTGTCTGAATAGTTGTTGTCAAGTTATCTAAGAGAAAACAGCTATGCCATGAAGATTTTACTGAAGTATTTTAAAGTATCAGTCACTTAGTATGGATCAGAAGAATGGCACTTACACTATACTGCAATCTCAGAAGACCAGTAAACACATAGTTGTATTTAAATTAGTTTTCAACTTGTCAAATAAATGAACATTTACCACAGTTGTGATATAGAGAATTAATGAGGCACAACCACCCCAAGCAGATTAGCAATTTATCTTTTAAAAAGAAAAAGAAAAGAAATACTGTAAACACTCTTAAGTCTTGTAACTTGTTGGCACTGAAACACTGCATTGCATTTCTCTATCCATCTGACACTGGAAATTGGGAATAAAACTCCCTAACACTGGGTTCAGCATTAACGAGCAGGCATTACTTTATTTGGCCAGGGACATGAGGGAATCATTCCATCTAACAGGTCCATCCTATGTTAAAATAGCCAAATCTTATATCACTCTGTTCCATATGTATTCATCAAATTTCCTAGAACTCATTATCATATTTACTTAGTAATTACGCATGCAGTTTAGGTCCCTGAGGGGCTTCCCTGGGGGTCGTTGGTGGTCTCTAGCAGTCTCTGGTGGTCTTTGGAGAGGAGCCCTTCTTGAACTTTGTCTGCACTTTGGAACTGAGCTTTCTTTGGTTTATGTCTGCACTTTCTTATCTCCTGCCTAGCTTCAGCTAGTTTATTATTTTTCAGAAGGCCTTAATCTTCAAGGACAAGGGCTTCTGATTAGGAGTCTCCCAAATTACGCATGAAGCCTCTACATTTACGCATTCCCCAGGAGCTGTTTATCAGGCATGCCTAGCTCAAGGACCTCTGTGCAACAGACAACATGTTGAAGGTGCTCAACTGATTGCTTAAGTTCTTCTGCTACCCTAAACAATTTTTTTTCCCTTCACCCATTTTCCAACATATCGACTTCTCAAGAGAAAGCCACTCATCTATCGTTTTCTAGATATTGTGCAGGTAACTGAAGGTAAATAGACTTGGAGCATCAGTGCCAACTGATTTTGAAGTCAGTGCCATCTTCCCTTTAGGCTTTTCCAGTATGTGCATTACCATCATTCTGAATCTGCTAAAAATCCAGTATGTTGTGTGGCTCCACATTAACCTCGCAGGGCATGATCACAGCATGAATTACAGCATTAATTGTGATAGAAGAGAACAGGCTGGCTTTTCCAAAATCACAGTGAGCATCTGCCCTCTAATGATGCTTTCTTGTTGATATGGATTAAGAATCTAAATTGTCTATGCATCTAAAAATCCCTTATCTGGGATTTGGGAAGGCCAGCACTGTGCATCCTAAATATTCTGTGCAGGAACCTTTATCTGTGGCCCATCCAGCCCTGAAGAAGACTGGAAAAGACTCCTTTGCAGTTAAAAAACTGCAGTTAACTCCTTCCTGCCCTTTTGGGTACGAGGGGGGAAAGGAGGCAACATCATAAACATATTAACTGTGGCCCTAGTCACTCTGAAATGTCATTCTCTCATTGTAACTCATCCCAAGTGTATTCCTGATGCTCACAACTTCCAGGTAAATAAACCTCATCAACCATCAGCAAGCAATATTAATACTCACAAGACAACCTGCTGGCTAACCACAGACTTAACATTCTCATGAGCCAGTCTCCAGAAAGAGGCAATAGCCCACTTTTGCATCAGTATGAGCTCTTTCAGTGACATACAGAGACAAGGGCATGGGGCCACATTCTAGTTCAAGGAAGTCAGCTTTCTCATGCAGAAATTCTGAAGTCCATGCTAGTCAACCCATCTTCACAAAGATACCACCCTATCATTGTCGTCACAGAAATTCTGACATGTGCAATGAAATAGACCATCAATTGTAGCATTCACCATGTCTTCCAAATCAGTCCTGTATTTTTTTTCTTCACGTCTCCTGTGTCCTATATGCTGACATATTTTGCTAATTCCTGAGTTCATTTGCATCTGTTTATGAGATGCGGTAGCTATGCAATCAGAAGAGAGCTCTCCAAAGGGACACAAAGATAGCTGTAAACATTCAAAACTGGAACATATTTTGAACTGCTAAAACTGCAAGAGATGGCAAACCAGAACAGTTTCTGTCTTGGGGGTTCCTAATGAGAAACAAACTGTCCCACAGAGATTAATTCCCAGCAGGAGTTCATTCCTTATGGTGTAGAGCTCACGTCAGCACTCGCAAATCCTGGCAGCACACACAAACACCAGTGAGCACTGTGTGGGTGTAGACAGCATGGCCTTAATACCGTGTTAGACATATAGTACAAAAAGGGCATGCCATAGGCCAAGTTACAAAATGGTGTAGAAATATAAGAAATAAAAGCTTACAGTGTTGTTTTAGAGCTAGAAAGATTCATGGTAGTAGATGACATCACTGCTGGTTCGGCATTTACTGAGTTCTCTGCTGAGGAATAAGAGCTGTCTTCAGATAGCTAGGAATAATAAAAGCAGATTAATTAGACCAAGCTTATTTTCTGCTATAAACATTTCTGCTAGAAGTCCAGAGTCACTGAGGTATATATATATGCTAGTTGTCAGAGCTTTCTCCAGCTGTGTACTAAACCAATGCCCTTAATCAAAATGCTAAAATGTTACTTTCTAAATAAGCAAAATCCAAAGCTGATTTGCACACAGAACCCTGAGGTCTGAAAGTTGAAACAGCCTGCAAGGAAGAGATGTTTTCTGAAACACAGTCAGCATGAGTTTAACAGTTCACACCATGTCAGTGATCCATTGATTCCACTGAAACTGATACGAGAACTTTCTTGAAAATCATGCAGTGGAATAATCAACTGCTTTAAAACAGCACTGTTTTGCTTTTGGTTTTGGTTTGGTTTTTTGGGTTTGGTTTTTTTTTTTTTTTTTTTTCAGTTTGAGCTCCAAACTTATGTTAGCCAGTAAACTTACTTTTCTCTTTACCTGAACAAGTGCTTCTTTCTTAGTCACTAGAGATACTATAGGATTTTCAGGACAGGTCAGGGCTTGTGGGGGTTGTAAAATGGCAGGTCTGATGACATTCTGCAATTGACTTTGTGACAAGGATCCTTGCAAAATACAGAGACAAAACATTTAAACAGAGACTTTTTCTTCATATCTAATTCACACCTATGTGTCTTGTCTCTATATCTGAAAGCTTCAAAGCATATTTAAATAACACTTATTATTGTTTACTTGCTACATATTCTGAAAAATTGTAATCCTTTCTAAAATACACACTCTGCAGTGACACCAACCTCTGTTATCCTACCAGAATAAAAAGGTAATGCGTTGTATACATAAATACATTTATTTGTATTTATAAACTATATTTGTATTTATATATTTAAATATAACTTTATACTTATATTTACTGCTTTGTATTAGGTTTGTCTTCTAGTATTTCAGATCTAATCCTGTGCCTGCAGACACCAAGAGGGTTCTCCATTGCCTTGTTCAGGAGCAGAGTTATTCAGTTAGAAATGTGAAATTTCACTGTGCAAGGTTATATTCAATCCACTCAGGAATTAAGTAATCAGAGCAGAGGCTCAGCACAGAGCTCAGAGGATACTTACACTGCCAAATAAAACCCCTGTGAACCTCATAAAGATGCATAGCCTATCACTCATCATAGAGAGTTGTCATTTTTGTGTCTTCTGTATCTGTTGAGAACATCTTTGTGGAACTACAGTAAACAAATACTGCAATGACATTTACCTTCTGCACTTTTGATCAAGTCAAGGTTTCTTTGAAGAAGAGCTGAGGTCATGAAAATGTTATTCTTCTTTACTACAGAAGAAGGATTTTAAACTTTAATAATGAGTAATAACAAACTTTAATTATTAATTCAAGTTTCTGTGACTCCTTCCTATTTTGGTAGTACCTGAGCAATATTCCAACCTATCCATCTAAACAAGATCTCCAAGATAACTGTTGTTGTTTCCATTTTACAAGTGGGTAGACAGGCACAGAAATCACCATGGGTTTTCTGGCTATGTCAGAGACAGAATTCTTTTGGATATTAATGGATGTTTTAAACTCATAAAACCCTTCTTTGGCTTTGAAAACCAGGTGCTGCTTGTCTGCAAAAGCTATTGAAATGGCAGTGCTATCTAGTTCAGTCTTAGGCATTTTTAAGCTGAGTAAACGAGGCCCAATAACATGGGAATAAATAAATGTACCCTGCCCTGTTCTGATAAAAAGGCTTTCATACCTTACTATAATGATGGCAATGCACTACTAATGTTTTCACTGTTTTAATAAAGATATCAAATACCAGCCAGAAAGTGATGCCAACCATGAATCATGTCCTGTAAAATGACGCAGCTGAGCTCCACACACAATCACTACTTTTCATTACAGAAAGAGTGTGGTCTGTTGCTATAACAATGCTGTGTCTTCTTAAGATTGTTTAGAAATCCTTTATGCCAATGTTTGTCAAGGACCTGTCTCTGGCAAGAGACACAGACTAGGACTCAAGACCATTCCCTTGTTCCCATTAGTAATAAGTGGGAGAATACTCCCAGGGTCACTGGCTATGTAGAAGACAGGCTTCTAGGATAGAAAAACATATTCTTACAGGAACCATCACCATTAAATTGCAAGCAAACTAATTCACATAATTACTTTAACTCCATTCTTTTTTTTCAAGTATGATTTTTACCACATCGTGTAAATTCCTGTTTGCAAATCATTCAAAGATCCTATCCAGCACTGCAGGATTCCCTAACACCAAATGCAAAAAACATATCTTGTGTTGAACTGCTAGTCCTTCTCCCCAGATAACATCCTAGTCAAATGCACTCCAGCTCTCTCCTGCAGAAAAAGCATTTGTGTACACCTTCTTATTGTAACTAATACCTGATTTTCCACATAAATATTTATCAGTTTTGTTCTTTTATTTTTTTCTTTTCTTTTCTTTTTTTTTAAATTACCTGGCTGGGAGGGAGGGAAGGTGGGAAGGATGGTAAATGAAGTCGATCTCCCCCTTTTCTGAGTGAGAGTTGTATCTGAAAGTATAAGAGACTGAAATTATCATTTGTTTGGAGAAAAAAAAAATAATTTTAAGGTTAGCCTTAAAATTTGATGTCATGCCTTCATTTGCAGTAGAATAAGTTACTATTTACAATCTACCAGCTTTCTGAAGTAGACTGTTAGGTTATGCCTATACTGCTGAATCGGAGAGGGCTCTGAGGCCAAGTGGCACAGCCTGGCTCAGGCACACTGCTTACAGCTAGTCCACTCTGTAACAGCTCTGTCTGGGAGACCGCCAGTTGGAGAGGTTCGAAACAGAACCAAGGAGTAAGCTATCAGTTAAGCAGTACAGACAGTCGAGATCAAACAGTCAAGCTTCCTCCTGCACCCTGCTTTATTTTTTGTTAAGGCATACCTTAAAATTTCTACCATATTTATAATTTTCTGTGTATGATCTCAGTTTAATTTTCATAGTAAACCAAACTTAGCTTATCTCAAATCCTCTTAGCTACATTCAGGTGTGTCACAGGACTAGATAAAACAAAATCCAGTGTACACATATTAATGCCTGAATTCAGACATAACTTTCTGTTCCCATCTGTATGTTAGATAAACACTGTAAAAAACAGATCAGTCCTTCTGCACAGTAGCCACAGTAACTTGTGTGCATTTCCCATTGAAGCAATACACAGTCCTTAAAGGGCCTTCCAGGTCAGCTGTTGGCTGGATGGAAGGAGGGGCGATTCTGGAAACTGCTTTATATTTTCAGGGATTGCCCAGGGAATATGATCTCTTCCACAAACCAGGGATTCTCATTCCTTTCCAGTCCTCATCCGTCCTTGACTGCATGAGCAATTCAAGTAAATGATATGAAACGAACAGATTTTTCACTGCTTCATGTAATATTACCTAAGTATGGAAAATTGATGTATTTGTACTTTAAAAGGGATTTATTGGAAATTACAAACAAGTTTATATCAATGTTTAAGTTTTCATGACTTGCAACATTCCTACAGTGCAGAAACATTTCCTATAACGGGAAAATTCCTTATCTTCTTTACTAGATGAGAATATGGAACTATAGTAATTAAAACATGACTGAAACTAAATGTCATACCTGTGTTAGAGTCAGACTTCTGGAAAGTAAAAGATGATGATCTTGTACGCTTTCTGGAACAACTAATGAAATCTAGAGAAAAGTAAACATAATGTTCTTCAATGACAGACCAGAGAGAGATTTCAGCACTATGTTATGATACTGAGTTAAAACCCTAACGTGATAAATTCTAGGAATGAGTTACAGGAACAGATTTAAGGCAGTACCTAAGAGCACGAGGGCTTTGGAATTTCAGCCAACACCTGACACAAAGCTCTAGGGAGTCTTCTTTATTTCTGCTAAATTTGGGGAACCTAAATCAACCACTTAGAATTAGTTCATAGTCCATCGGTTCAGAAGACATTAAGAATGAGAAGTTACATTATAATGTAGCCCAAACAAACAGAAAAGGGCAGAGAGACACTCATAGAGCTGATGAATATATTTGGCCACTTTTCAGGGCTTCTGGAGTTTGGCTTTCTGGTAAATATGAGAGGTAAGATGGAAGAACTCTTGCGGTAAGACAGGTACATATCTATTGGGACATAATAGGTGGCTCTACAACCCACATAGTACTCTTAGTCTACTAACAGGGATGTGTCCCTGTGCACACAAAGTAAGGGTCCAAACACTATTTTCACAGGCAACAGTCAGACCTATAAATAACCCAACGTATTATTATAGTATTTCAATGAGGTGTTTATTACCGTTTCCAGCTTTGCAAACTGGGTCTTCTGCAGGCCGCTAGAAAAAAAAAAAAAAAGTGTGGAAAAGTCAAGGAGAATAGAACAGCCATTTTCCAGACCAGGACAGAAAATATATCAATCCAGCATATATGCATTAAAAACAGTCTTGTTTCTAGTTTCTACTCTTCCTTGTTCTATTTTAAGACTATTTATTACAAGTCTTAGCCTGGGCTAAAATATTTCATTACTGCTGGGATTACTGTCTACAGAATCTCAGCATTTTTTATCTATTATGAAAAAAAAAAAAAAGAAAAAAAAGCTTTTTACCTTCAAAGGACGGTCTTTCTTTTCAAAAACAAATGTTGGCTGGGCAAGCACTGATCTTTCTGGAAAAGAGAAGAGGTCATGTTTAATAACAATTCTGTAATAGGACATCTCACCCACAGTTCTCAAAGTGCTGTGCAATCACAAACAGGACTTTATCCTTTTATTACAGCAGAGGAAAATATAGAGCTGCAGTGATGTACAGCACAGTCCATACATAAAAAAATAAAGCTAATGTGTGAGTTTTGCCTAACTAGATGCCACAGGATTTGGTGTCATATTTTTTTACACTTCTTTTAGTTAAAAAGAACATTAAAGTTCTTTTAGCTTTTACAAACAACATCTGCCATGCTTTAAGAACAAGGGCGAACAGCAGCTTTGATTCTCAGAAAAGTGCAAGGATGTGAAATGCTAAATGATCCCAAAAAGCAAAGCAAGGAAATGTGGTACACTTGATCTCTCAGCTACATTCACACTTCCCATTCTTTAGGCTTCAGCTAAGTGAATGCCTAGTGTCAGTTTTAATGTGTGGGTATGATATATAAACGTATGAAGTTCTGTAGAGCAAATTCTACTCTCGGGCATATCTCTGCATTTCTGAGGTATGACCAAAACCAACTTTGGATCCATGTAGGTTGTTTTTGTTTTTTTGTTTTCTTTTTTTTTGTTTTTTTAATTAAACATATTTCAGCATATAGTTGTCTCACATCAAATTTTATGATGATACAGCATTCTCTCATCTTACATGACTTCTTCAGGCTACTTACTTTGCTAAGAATGAGACCTTCACAACCTGTGCAACACTAATGGACTAACTTTGGTTGTCAGTGTAAATTAAGAAATTGTTTTCACCAATAACACGAACTAGTGACACATTTATTATGCGAACAAATGGCACAATTAAAGAGCAAAGAAGTAGACACAAATTGAATTTTTTAGACCATCACATACAGGAATCACCTCATGCTAGCTTGAGGTGTCTGTCACATGCAGTCAAATAGAAACAATCAGCTTCTGATCATAAGCATATTTTAGTTGTGTACATTACGTGATTAATTTATGCATTTATTTCTCTCTATGGGTGATAAGGACAAATAGGGTGACTACTGAGCTATGTGACTGGACTTTGGCCAGAGCAATCCCACATTTGATATCTTGTTAATTGACATTTGACAGAATATTTATCATGTACCCACCGTTTTTATAACAGGGGCTTCCTCTGATTTATGTTAAGAAGTTTACCTGTTCAACAAATATGTCTATGTGAAAATATATGGATCAACATTTTTATCTTGGCTTGCACATTTGTCTGTAACCAAATCACTCTAGCATTGGTATCAAATACTTAAAGGTTTAATAAAACAAATATCAACCTATCATGGAGGAGTTAAAATTACTAAATAAATATATATTCAACAGTCAAGAAAAAAGTAAGCATTGTTAAAATAAGTCTGTGTGTACGTAAATTGGGGCAAGAAGCATGACTCCAACCCAGTGATATGCAGTCATAGCAGTAATAACTAATACAATTTTGCTTTTGTTGAAGTTAATTTTACATTCACTTGGGCATTATGTGTGTGCGAATGACTGAATTTAGCAAACTTGGCTTGCTTTGCAATGAAGGTCTGGTTTGTCCTTAATAGAAAAAACAGAAAAAAGTTCACATTGTTCAACTTCAAAAAAGATAACTCTGTCGATGAAAGTTGAAGAAAATTTCCTTAATCTAGTTGCAGCTGGGGCTCTGCAGCACAGCATGAGATGAAGCAATTCCACTTCTATTCACTAGAGGGGAGTGACACTCATAAACAATAGTATTTCACTGAAGTATGATTTATTCAATACAACAGGATTTTTTACTTGTATTCTTGTATTCTTATTGAATGATGGAAAAATACAATAATTAAAGCATGACTGTAGAAATATTCTCCACAGCACCTCTCAAAACTCAGAAGCTAGCAATATTTTTAAAGGTACATTTACTACTCCAAAGCATGGAATTAGCAAAGAGTGAATTGCTGTAAAAAAGAAACTGACTCTTTATCACAGAGTTAACTTTTGCTGGAGTTAAGAGGCTGTAGGTAGTTTGAAGAATTAGGAAAGTTTGCTACAACTTAAGCAACAAAATAATTCCAGCAATAGTTTAAAACCCAGAAGTTGCCAAAGAAAAATTTGTAACTGGTTGATTACCACCAGAAGCAATGGAAGCTAGGGTATAATGATACCTCTTAAAGATAAATAAGCATATTTTGGTTTTGTAGCAAATGTAAAAGATGCATCCCATCAACTGCTTTTGAGCCAAAGGGAAAACTTTCTTGCCGTCTGTAGATTTAGTCAGAAGTTACTGATGCTGTCATGAATATTTATCATTTTTATGGTTCTGTATTACTTCCACCCAAATCAAGAAAACCTTTTTGTAATTTCTGATGAGTATTTCATGTAGCTCTTAAGTAGTATCTTCACTCCGCCATCAGGCCACTCACAACAGTGTTTTAAAAATATATGTATGTTAACTACGTATGTATCCTATGCATCCATTTCTAATTACATTTTAAACTTCTCAGATATTCAAGCACAAAATATCTGCAGCTGATCCCACAGAAAAAGCAATGCAGAATTACTTGTGGCTGTAACACACGGTGATCAAGGAGTTACCACAATTGTGTCAACATACTAATTTTAACACTGGTGAGCAATTTTGCATTTCTCTCCTTTGCTTTCTTTGCTAAGGCTGCTGCTGACAGGGTGGATGGCTGCATGCTGGGAGAAGGAGAAGCCCTTCTACACCCTCCTCTCCTAGCAGCAGTGGGTGCCCCAGCTGGGCTGCGCCTGACGCCGTCCCAGGGAAGGGGCAGCAGCAGCCAACGCCGGGCACCCGCAGATGTGGAGGGTCGGGAACAGGGTAGGCTGGAGCCACCCCTCCTCCTCGCCACCAACAGCATTCAGACAGACACAGGCTGGCTAGTGCCTGGTTAACACTGGGCCGCTCCAGCCCTCAGTAGCTTGGTACTTGTGTATCAAAGAGACTGTTGGAAAAGTTACCAGAAGAACCTGCCAAATGGACTGCCTCTGGCTGCAGGGACTGGAACAATCCACCAAGATCAGCCAAGAGTCCAGACACAGGACCCTGCAGTCTGCCTGTGAATTATCTATCACCACAGATTGGGCTCTCTTTTCCACACCACAGTTCCCCTGAAGCTGCTGAATTAGAAAGGTCTTGGCCTAATGCTTGCTGCATTCAGAGTTCAAAATAAGCCCTTGCCCAGAAGACACATTAGAAATCTTCAGTTCTCTTGTTTGAGATCTTGCCTGCGTGGCCTCCTGGCTCCAGCCTCCTGTCCTGCACAGCAGCACTGTCAAACGTGCCCTGACCGGAGCTCCCCGACACGGAAGGCACTCAGCTCTCAGGCCTGGTGCCTGCTCTGCTCTGCTTTACTCATCCAGCACAGGCACCCCCGCTCCATCCCTCTGCTCAGTACTCTGCCTAGCACTGTACCTGCAGGCAACTGGCAAATTATGGCTGTTCATATGCCCAGATGGAGACCGCATTTATAGAGTTCTGTTTGAAAAAAAATACAAAGGTGTATTTTGGGAAAAATAGTTGCTGGCTGCTGCCTAAGCCTAGGAATCACTAGTCAGAATGGCATGCAAGAAATAATATAAAATCACTTTCAGCATTGTATCTCAAAAGCCAGCATTGTACATCAAGTGTATGGGTCCTTCAGCCTTTGCTGTGAAATTCCACTCTTCACTTTTATTGCAATTGCTTTTGCTAAACCTGTAGAAACTTCACAAAATATATACGTTTAAAAATAAGTGGGACACTGATGGTTTTGAAAATTTTAGAGTTGTTGTTATTATTATTCCACCTTGCCCAGAGAACACATAAATGATCCTTAACTTTTGAGGGCTAAGGACATAGTAGGGAGAATATAAGCCCAAAATTCTCTCCAATTTTCAGGCAGTCATATGCCTGGAGTAGTATGTTGACAGTGGCTGACAGTCATATGGCTCTACTCCTCCCAAAGCAAATCAAAAAAACCTTCAAATCTTTAAGAAGGTAAGATAAGAAGTTGTGATCTCAATAAGAGTTTTTTACTTCTGACTTTTAAACAGTCAATTATTATATTTTCATATTGAAAAGAAAATAAATCCTGTTGCATCTTCACCATTACCAAACTTGCCAGAAGTCTGAAAACATTTTAATTCATATTCATAACAAAAATTTCCACAGTTTTGTATCTAAAGTTAGGAACCTACAGCTATAAAAAATAACAATAGCATATTTTATATCACTTGGGATGACTGACTCCAGTGAAAGTTGTAAGTGTCCATCAAATCTACAAATCAAACTGATTTTATATATGCATTAAAGTGCTAAAATGCAGGCATCAGAGTTTGACAGCAATTACAGTTCTTATATGTGGATCTTATTTTTCTCCTCCAGTCTTAGCAATGTATACTAGTATAGAAAGGAAGTGCAGAAGCTGTTTTTCTCATACAAATCTGTGTTCTGTTCAAACTGATTTAATTGTTTAGTGACCCCCTTTACCTAATTAGAAAACTGAGTAAGGAATTAGGCTTTCTGTGGTGTCAGAGGCGTGCAACATTACCTAGATATCTTTAATTCTTGATCAGGGACTAGACAATACCTTCTTCAGGGAATAGCCAGTCAGTGTTGAAGAAAGGTATAAATACTTTTCCAGTAAATTAACATAATACCTTACAAAATGTAGACACTTTACATGGTGTTCTGCTTTTCTGCTTTGTATTAGATTTTAAAATTAGGCTTAACTGAGAGCCATATGAAAAACTGTAATTTTAAGTATTTTTCCAGAGAGCTGGAAATAGGTGTTTTTTATTCTATTTGTCAATAGAGTGCCACAGACAAGTTAGGTGGCAGGATTCTCATGTCTCTGCTGTTTCTTTCAACAGTTTCATACAGAGAATTTCTTTAAAGGCCTAATGCCAATCCATCGGATTTTGCCTGAGCTTCTACTATTCCCACAACTTTATATGTTATTTGTATAGCTCTTTACAAATAACTGCCAATCTGGCAATCAGA